TGCAACAAGAGGTCCTCAGCTTACAATCAGAGTAGAAAATTTGTTAAACAATGCAATTGTTAAGTGAGGCATTATGTGACCAAGCCCAATTTCTCTACGTTTTTTTTTTCCGAATGAATCACCTACAATCATTAAAGGAGGCATCACATGTCTTCAACTTGTGACTTCTGCCAGCTTCCCCATTGACTTTGCTCCTTGAAAGCCGCTTGGAAAGTTGCAAACGTGACGTGACTACAGGATGCTACAAGTGTTGTAAGCCAGTCGCCAAACACTCTTGCAATCACATGACTGTTGGATATTCTGACAGTCATAAGTATGAAGACCAGTCATAAATCACTTTTTTCAGCTCTTAACGGTTCCTAAATACATAGTTGTTAAGGGAGGACTACCTGTATTTACATATAATTCACGCTATAACTTTCTCTCGCATTTGTTGTTTCTGCATTGGTGAATTTACAGTATGAAGCTTCTTATGAACTTTTTTGGCGTAAAGTGTCTTTTACAAAGAAAGATTATGAAAATTGTTAGGCATAGGAGACTCATGGATTTAGCTCATTATCTCTAGCATGTTAGTATACTCAGAAACATATATACTTACTATACCAATATTGTAGAGGAAGCTTTTCTGATAAAAAGAAATCTAAAAAAATCCATTCCATTCTTTCTACTACTACAGAGTTTTTAAATCCAACTCCACAAATTATGCCTTATTACCCTTCTTTTAAGGCAGCAGTTCTCAACCTATGGGTCGCGACCCCATTTGGGGTTGATCGACCATTTTTCGGGGGTTGCCAAAGAAGGCGATCCGCCATTTCCTCCCCTCAGGGGGCGCCGGCGCGCATGGGGGGGCGCCGCACATGGGGGGGCGCCGCGCATGGGGGGCCCACCCCCATGCGCGCTGCGCATGCGCAGAGCGTTTGTGTGACGGGGGTCGCCGTCACACAAACGTTGAGAACCGCTGTTTTAAGGCATTCCACACAGAAAGTGAAACCATCTCTGCTTTAGAAACAGCAACCTTATTCTGCCTTCCAATTTTGGCTTATTTATTTTATGTACACTGCTCTGGACACAGAATGTGGTAGAGATGTTATTAAAAGTATAGTTTGTTCAGAAGGTGTCAGCAAAAAAAAACAGGGACTGTGAAAGGATTGCACATAAGTTATTAATTCAGTTTGCTGTCTGAGCTCTGGGTTCTTGTTTGGGGTTTCTACCATATTTTTGCATCTTTTAAGTCAATGAGAGTTTTAGTGGTTTTAGACTATATTCCTTTATACTCAGGCTCTGCCACAGAATATAGAGTAGGAAAAAACCCAAAATTTATATTAGAGTGTAGAATTATGTAAGTTAAAGGCAATAATCCCATTAATATAAGGAACACGATAGTGAAAATTGAAAGAACTGGGTTAGTGGAATAACTCATCCCATCCAGTTCAACCCAAAACAGATTGAAATGGTTAAAGAACTAAGAACATTCATCCCAAAGTAAGCTTACTTTCTAGCATATATTCCCATCTCCAGGAAATCAAATTTATGAAAGGGGATAGAATTGTGTCTGGTCAGTGCTTGGTGGTGCTAGCCAAATTTATTTTCTGGGAAGCATGCTCTCCTCTGTTTTTTATGAATTCCTACACATAATTGCTATTGTTGGCACACAGATCCTGTGTTTGATTGTTTTGGTCAGCATGCTGGGTAGGATACCTCATTCATCTAAAGCACGGGTGTTAAACTCGCCACGTCACATGACATGTTGCGATGTATTGTGACTTTTTTTGCATTGCTGGAGCTGGGGTGGGCACGGCCTCCATATGATGCAACCGGCCCACGGACCGGTAGTTTGCCATCCCTGATCTAAGTATTTGATACAGTGCTTGATCAATAGAGCAGCATAGGCAGCTGAGAGGGTTAGTTTTTGAATTGCAGCATTTATAGCAATTCCACTTCATTTGAATTAACTAACTCAAAAATGGATATATATATATTAATTTTGCACTAATGGGAGTTTTCAATAAACATTTTATTTGTTACTTGTATGCAAATTAAGTTTACTTTTTATTTTTGTTCATTTTTTGGCTAAAAACTGATTCTTTCAAAGATCAGCTTTTAAAAATCTTTGATCGTCATTGGAAAAATGTATTTTTATTTATTAAATTAATGATATAGATGATAATGTACAAGCTTTCAATCTTTTCAAAGTTATACTCTGTTTTATCTAAATTTGTAAATATTACAGTATGCATACAACATTTACAGAATGCAAATGTGCTTGTTAATGTACATGTAAGTATTATTTAACATTTGGTGAAAAAAAAATCTTTCTTGCCCCTTGTTTTATTTTTTTAATTAAAGTTTTGATCAGGTGCAAGTTGCTTTTCATTTTTCTTAGACGTGAAGCATACTGTTGAACTTTTGTTAAAATGGGTGGAACTAGAGGTGTGCTTAACTACAAAAAAATGCCTTTCTTGCATTTATTAAGTAACTGCAGATTAAAGATAAATCTGTGTGTAGGTGATGTTACCATAGTAAATGTGTTTGATCAACAAATTTGAATTCTGATATTGTTGCTTGCAGTAGTTGTATTAAAATACAGTAACTTTGGAAACACACGGCACTGCATTGTGTCTGATAATGTTGCAGAAGGAAGCCACTATGTTTAAGCAATGATGCAATATGAGTGGTTTATTGCAATTCTGCAGTAATAAAAGAGCTTTGGAAGAAAATATGATTAGAGTTATCTCAAAACTGAAAGCTTGCTGCAAGGTAGGTGGGGGAGAAACTTGGTTAGAGAAAAGAAAACAAAAGTTGCCATAGGTTTCTTGAGAGCGTTATGTTTTGGAAAGGCTTAGATGGTTTTAGATGTACTTCAAAAGATCTGAGAATAAGAACAGTGGAAGAATGATGTCTGTCTGTGGTCTACAGAGATTTAATAGTCAGGTGACTTTAACCAAACAACATATGGGAGAGAAACCTAATTCCTGTTACAGCATTCGTGCATCATGCAGATAATAAATGGTTGAAACCATCTATGTAAAAACAGCAATAACAGCAAGGAAGATAAAAAATAACCTTAAACTGCAAAATAATGTATCACTTTGATTATGCTTTCTTTGTAAATGTTACTGACGAAATTCTATTCAGATTTGCTCCTTGTTAGAGAGTAGTTTTGGCTATCCCCTAATCATTTTGATTGTTCTTTTCTGGTTTCTGTATTAATAATTATGCAAATCATTCCATATACATTTACATCACAATTTTACTTTTGTCAATTTTACTTCTATTTTGTTCCAAATAATTCCCAACATAGACTTTCCTTTTTTTTTATAGCCACTGCATACTAGACTGACATTTTCACTGATATGTTTTCATTAGGTCTCTCAAGATTGCTTTCCTGACCAGTGATTCCAACTCTGCTAAAGAATACATGAGCTTGCACTTCAAGCCAAAGTTTACCCTGGATTGCTTTTGCTATTTTAAGGCCCATTCACCCATTTCATTTTGGATCTCTCCACAATCCCTTTTTTGATCTGATTTAACTGGAGCAATTTGAAATAATCAGCAAACTTGCCACCTCATTGCTCATCTCCTATTCCGAGGGTGTTTATAAATGAACTTAAAAGACTGATCCATGTGATATCCCTTTTATACAACTCTCCTTTGTGAAAACTGTATTACTAATCTCTGCTTCCTGTTCTTTGATGATCACAAATCCATGAGATGGCTTGTCCTCTTATGACATTGCTTCTATATTTGCCCTGAAGATTTGAATAAGGAGCTTTTGTTGGAGACATTCACATATCAAATCATTCTTGTTTCATTCTTGTTTACAAACATACTGTACATAACAGTTTTTTTTTATTTTTCTTCCCTCCATTTTACTCAGATTGAATGTGAAACCAACTGGTTTATAATTTCCTGAATCTACCCTCTTTTTAAAATTTAGAATTATATTCTGATTACATAACAATATATTTTGCTAAGGGTCTACTTTTAATAATTATTTGCTGCCTCCAATGCTATAAGAGCCATGGTGAATGATAATCATGATTTAATAAGTGGAACAGTTGTTTTACTAAGGTTTATCCCACCAATTCTGGCTATAAAATTAATGTTGCCCAGTTCTAATGGTATGTAGGACTTTCAAAAATGTGGTGGGGGAACATGCTACATGCTAAGTCTAGGACTGAGTCCTAGTATTGGGAGGAAGTGAAGGAGCCTACAGGAAGTGCTTTGGGGCTTTAATAAATTGGCATGTAATGTATGCTTTGAATAATGAAAAAAAAAATCTGTACAGCTATTTCCTATGTTTCCTAATATAGGAACAGCTTATTTAAATAAGTATTTCAAAAGAATCCATTTCTTAGAAAAACTTCAAAGGCTTTTGCTTTTCCTCATCTACTTCCTTCTTAAAATTCTGAGAATTTGGGGAACTCAGAAGAAGAAGGGAAGTAGTTTTCTTTTTTTATGAGTTGTGGAATTCTGATCACACAGATCAGAAGGACAAATTTCCCCCTTCTCCTTTGTCTCCTGTTGCTAGAATAAAAGCTGAAAAATTATTGTTTATTTTTATTGCTCCAGATGTAGCAATATTGAGCTCATAATCCACAAATTGTACTTCTTAAAGGAAGTACTGACATTGAAAATTGAAAGTCTAGTCTTATCCTTCCCTATATTACAATTTATGTCTATTTGTAAGGCTACTGGAAGAAGGACTAAATTATTAATTAAACACACGTATGCTTCCCTATTAAGCACCTTTTTGTTCAGCTTGAGGATCAAAAGGCTAGGCAGATAATTGAACCACCATATTAATACTGCCATTGCTATCTGAAAGCAAGGAAACATTAGAATGTGAATATTGTGAATTATGCATTACAGTTGGATGTAATATGTACATGACAGATAATATTAGGGTAGTTCCTACCATGTGACAAAACTATTTGCAGAAGTAGCTTAGCTTTGCCTATCCAATGATGTTGATTCAGTTATATTTTCTAATTTTACAGGTTCAGTTGAGAAAATGTCTTGCCAGAAAGTTATCCATTTTGGGCAGCAGTTGTTTCGTCGGAAAGTGGTAGACTGTACAAGCAACGACAGCCGGCTCTCACGGTGCCTCAACACATTTGACTTGGTTGCCCTTGGAGTAGGCAGCACTCTTGGGGCAGGGGTTTATGTTCTTGCTGGAGCAGTGGCACAAGAAAATGCAGGACCTGCCATTGTCATTTCCTTTCTGATTGCAGCTCTGGCTTCTGTGCTGGCTGGACTTTGCTATGGAGAATTTGGTGCTAGAGTTCCAAAGACTGGATCAGCATATCTCTATAGTTATGTGACTGTCGGTGAGCTGTTGGCATTCATTACTGGCTGGAACCTCATTCTTTCTTATGTCATTGGTGGGTATTCCTTTGTTATCATTGGTCCATTTAATCAAGAACAGGTTTAGATCTGTGAAATATTGCATTGTGCATTGTGCTCTGTCATAATAAAGCTACCTTTTAAACTTCAGAACAACTTAATATGATCATCACAAAACCATATTATTTGGGTTGAGAATACTGGCTAACAAGAGCAGTACTTTGAAAGGAATGGTTCTTTTAAAGTTTCAGCCGCAAGGTGGGAATAGAGTGATGTATAAAATAAATAGAGGCAAAATATGTGGGCCTTCTGAAGGGGTGAGTTGTGGAGATTAAAAAAGTATATGTTCATTATTATTACAGTATTATTTTAGAAGTACCTAAAAATATGTTGATTTGCTATATTTCAATGGAGCAATTTTAGGGAGAGGTCCGTGCAAGAGGGTGAGCTCTCATTACTTGCCCCAGCTCTTGCCCACCTAGGAGTTCAAAAGCATGCAAATAGATTAATAAGTACCACTTCGATGGGAAGGTAACAGCGTTCCATATGCCTTTGGGTGTAGCCATGTTGGCCACATGACCATGGAAATTATCTTTGGACAATGTTGACTCCCTTGGCCAAAAAATGGAGAGGAGCACGGTGCCCTAGAGCAGGGCTTTTCACCTTTTTCACCCATTGTACCACTTTTAGGATATGGCAATATCCAAGTACCACCAGTCGCCCAGCAAGGTGTCAAAAACTTGATGACCCCCCCCCCAAAAGGAAAAAAGTGATAAAGTACAGGTAGTCCTCGACTTACAACAGTTCACTTAGTGACTGTTCGAAGTTACAATGGCACTGAAAAAAGTGTCCCTCAAGGCACAGCTGAGCAAGACACCTGCCTGCCCATCCGGCAGCGCTCTTCTTCCTGTCCAAGGTTTTCATTGTTGTGAGCATTTCTGTTGAGGATTGGCAGCTGGGTGGGGGGGGGGGAGTTTGGTTTTTGTTCCCCCCATCTACTGGGTGGTTGCAGCAGGTTTTGGTCACTTCACATTACCCTGGGACACTGTGACCGTCATAAATATGAATCAGTTGCCAAGTATCTGAATGTAAATCACAAGACCCTGGAGATGCTGCAACATTCCAGGTGATCAGTGCTTCTTCTGGGCTCAGCAGAAGTGCCAGGATCAGTGCTGCTTTCCAGCTGATTGGTGCTTTTTCAGGGCTCAGCAGAAGCACCAGGATCAGCGCTGAGCTACAGCTGGAGCCTGGCTCTGATCCGCTGAGCCCTGACAGCCCCGAAGAAGCGCTGATCCTGGAGCTTCCACTGAGCCCTGACAGCCCTGCAGCTCCAGCCGTCTTTCGCTCAGGTTTGTGCGGTGCTACCACCAGTTCAGCTTATTCCCCTCCCCCGCTACTTTTCTAGGATGGTCACGTACCACCTGCCAGGTGCCAATGTACCACAGGTGGTACCTGTACACAGGTGGTACCCATACCACTGGTTGAAAAGCCCTGCCCTAGAGTTGGACACGACTGACAGGGAAACTGTTACCTTTTTGCCAGCACTCACAAAAATGGGGCTGAAAATAATTGATTCCTCACAGTGAGAGGAACTGTTAACCAGAAGAAGAATTAGGGGTCAAGGCTATTTCTTATACTGAAACAGTAGAGAGATGTAGACCTTTTCAAAAGAGACAGACTTCATTTCTTCTGCATCAAAAAAGAGAGCAAATGAACAAACACTTTGCCAATAAGTATCTAATTTGAAAGTGGAATTCTTGCTGGAATTTTTGTGTAGTGACGTTGATTTTCCTTCCAGTAAGTACTAGAGCTCTTAGGTACTCTTTCTTTTGAATAACTATTTTGATTGTATGATAAACACGAAAAAGGGAATACCTGTTGTTTAAATCTTTTCTGATGTGTATGATGGAATGCTAGGCATTAGGATTTAATCTTATTGCATATGTCTGACAAATGCTGATGAACGTTAAGATCCCCTTTTGTCGATAAATGTTTGAAGGGAAAATTACATCTAGACCACTTCCTCTTTATTGCTTAAATTGGTAATCATTGCTATCTAACCAGATGTAACAGCTATTTGGTGGATTGGATATATGCAAACAAATGTACACAGCTCGTATATATAGCTGTATTGATCATTTCAAATGCTTTAATGTTTCCTTAACTGTAACTTAAAAGCTGTCTACATTGATTAAAATTATGAAGTTTGCAGTCAAACACTGAAAAAGAAAATAGTGGGATGGGGCATTGCATTAGTGTACTAAAAGTGAGGTAAAGCAGAGATAAATAGCAGCCCTTTCTAAATCAAAGCTTTTTTTTAAACACAGAGTTCAAGGGAAAGATGGATCTCTAACTTGGGATTAATATTATAAAAGATTTAATTGCAGTGAGGGTCTTGCTGGAAAGCAAAACTAGACTTCTTACAAGACTGTTTATAGGAAACACTGCAAATTTATTTTGTCTTTTACTCTTTTTGTCAATTACAGAAGTAGTATATCAAAAATGAGAAGAAACATGATTTAGGTATAGATTCAGAAATCAGACCATGTGCTATATGTAGCCCTATATTCTTCTCTTTTTAACACATGATTAAACACAGAATCTCAGATTACGTGTAATAACTTTCCATGTTAGCAAAAGATACTGTATCTACCAGGTTGGTAATAATGAATACATTTAATAAATAAAAATAAACAACAAAATCACTGTGTGGCTTCTAGTAGCTCCAGTTTCTGATAACTCTGTTTCTTTATGTGTATGAAATGGCAAATTCCAATTAATTAAATTATAGATGGATAGTGCCTATCTGGCCCCAAGACGGCTTCTAGTTTTCTAATTACTGAAGTTCCATGAGATTGTTAGCAGTCTTATGTGAACTCTTATAAGATTTAAAAAATGTTAACTTTTTTTCAGATCTGTGCCCGACCTCTGATTAAAATTTGGGGCAAATATAAATTTTGTGGACTCTGAATTGGAAGATGATTTAATCATCATTTGATCAAAAGTGATATAGCATATATTCAAGCAAAAGGCACGTGCGTATTTTGAATAATGAGATAGGAAGTTATTGTTTCAGCCAGATCATAGAGTTATACCATGGTATTTTAAGTGCAAGAGTTGGTGAAGGGATAATAAAATGTAGAATTAATTCAAATGTAGAATTAATTAAATTAATAGGAAATTAAGAGCTCTTACATGTAAGAAGCATGAAAGATAAATATAATCAGAAACATTTTGGTGAAAGTTGATAAAGATTTATTTTTTAAAAAATAAAAATAAAAATTAGTGCCCTTAAGGAAATGTTCTGTATGTTTTGTTTTTCTTAATTTAGACCTTTTTTTAAAAAAATGAAACACAATAATACATTTATCAGTTTAGCAACTAACTGTGGATGAAAATCTGCTTAAAACAATTTTATTGGCTGTGAGTGAACTAATAGCTGGACAATATTTATCTTTGGTGGAATCCACATTTTGTAGAATAATTTTTCAACAGGCTGTTCCTGTAGCAAATATTTAATTATTTATTTTTTGGGTAGGAGAGTAAAGAAATAGTGGTTCATGTTTTTCTGTGATAAAAGAAAAGAAGCACAGCATGAATTTGTTTAAAGTTGGAATTTGTTCCAAAATAAGTAGGAGTGGTTGAATAGGAAGGGTTTGGAAGGGAATGTAGGTTGAACTTCAAAAGTTCTATATTTATTTACAACTACTTGGTGTTTGCATAAAGAATTTCCTTGCTTTGTATGCATTTATAGAATTAGCATCCCCTGATTTTGTTGATCAGAACATGGCCCCCGTGAATCATTTTATATTGCTTTCCAGAAAAAAAAAATCACTGTTAGGCAGCTGTTTCAGGTATAAAATCAATTATGGAGAATTCCTCTTGAGGTCCAATGCCTTCAAGGGGTAGCTTAGAGAAGATGGCTTTTACACTGTATAAGTACACAAGAAGCTCCCTCTCCAGTCTTGTACGCCTCAGATGTAGACTGAACCTTAGTTCCAATTATCCCCAGTTACCATTGCTTCTCTAGACTTGGCTTGTAAATTACCTCCCTTGTCTTTTATTCAAAGTGCAACTGAACTTGTTGGACCACATTGTTTTCTTCCTTAAACCAGGAGATAACTTATTTTCATTTTGATTAAAATGCTGAATTTTAATCATCACACAATAAATACGTTTTACTTGTCACAAAATAAATGAGTGGGATTTGAATGATTTTCTAAGGATTTGATGGTGAGATGGGCACCAAAAATGTATTAAATAATAATAATTAATAGTAATATATCAAAGTTGTTCAATTTGACAAAGGAAGTGGAACGAATGCATTACATGTTATACATAAATGGTGAAAACTAGAGGTAGTAGATGAATTTGTATTGGTAGATATTTAGTGAAAATGGAAAAACTAAGAAAAATTAGATACCCAAAAGCTTGTAAAAAAGAAATGGCTGTCATAGGGTAATACAGAATTGATCACCTTGTTTTGGAAAGAGCATTATGACTTGCCAAGTTTTGTGCTCTGAGGCAGATAAATGGATTTTGGTAATACCTCTTTGATTTAAATGTTTAGTTGCAAAATTTGCAGAACACTGGCCTATAAAATATCCAACAGGGAACACCCCCGTCATGGTCACTTCTGAAGATACAACAGTCCTGTGGATTTGTATGAGTAACCCCTGTTCTTACGATACAGGCTAGGGACCAGGGGAGTAGTTGGAAAGAAGTAACACACATTTTCGAAAAAATTGTCTTCCATTCCTGTTCAGCCTGATTTTAAAATCTCTAGAAGATTCAGTGAACTTGTTAACAAAACTCTTCAACAGCAGTTGCACAATTCTGTTTGGTGCTATTAAGGATATGTCAGAAGCCAACATATCTCTTGCTGATTGGGTTGTAGGACAAAAACACAGCACCTTTTAAATATTTTTTTTTTTTAAATGAGATGGGGCAAAAATATTTTAGTCTGTTTGGGACATCTATCCCTTTGTGATTAGATATATCAAGGCATCTGAGACTCCAATTTCAAACTGGTCGCCTTTTATATATGTATTTTTACATGTTTTATAAATTACTTGGCATTTTTTTGTTTTGTTTTGCATAAACTTGTTCACTTCAGATGAAATAGTGCCATATGTATGTCAATGGATATAATGTTATAAAGAGGTAGCTTTCATTTTTATTCTCATACAGGGACATCAAGTGTAGGCAGAGCTTGGAGTGCAACATTTGATGAGCTTATAGGCGAACATATTGAGAAGTTCTTTAGTCGCTACATGTCTATGAATGCTCCTGGTGTTCTAGCAAAATACCCAGATGTCTTTTCTGTTTTCATTATACTAATCCTAACAGGTGAGAGAAATAAATAAATATTATTTGGGATGGGCATTTTGTGGTGCTTTTGAACCCTTATTTTGCAGGGAAAATGAACAGACTTATTTATTTTGCCATTTTTAAAAAGCTTTTTTATTTGCTGGATCAGGTTGTCCTTCAGTTGCAGAGATAGGTTTCCTTTTTGCTACCGTTTAAAGTTATTTATGTGTGCATGTAGATACAAGCTGGAAAGTATTGAACATTCTAGCTGTATTTTTTTCTTGTAATAAAAACTGTGATTAAAGATTACCTTTAGAATGGGCTTTGAAACTTCTCATTTTTTCACTTGTGACCTAAGAAGCAATGTATATGTTATTAAATCTAAAGGGAGTTAGATTTAAAATCCAGAATTACTTTTGATGTTTACCTCAAAGGCTCCAATGTAAATACTCAGTACAGAATTTTCTGATTACGTGCTTCTCAGATGTCATGCAAGATACTTTCCAGTTGCTTAGCAACTCTGACCATCTAACATAAGGCTCTGTTTTCTGAAAACCAATGAGAAAGTTACTCAGTCTTATTTCTATACTTGCCAAATCTTCTTTCAGATCTGAAAGATTTTTCCTAATTCTTATTCCCCATATCTGTTACATTCCTTTGTAAAACAGCTTGAAAGCTTGTTGAGTCTCATTCCTGTGTGAGACATCACCCAACAGCTAGCAATAGAGATTTCCATGACTGACCCAGAACATGTCTAGGCACCTTGTTAAAAATTATGTATGCTTAAAAATATTCCTGAATACAATATCATAGATTGATAGTTTGGATCAGAACCATACATTGGTATTCTGATCATGTAAGAGGTGCACTTTATAAATACTGAATCATGTTACTGAAATAATTGGCAACTGGAAATTTTTAAGTCATTACAAAGGTCGTCCATGGCCAAATTCACAACACAGCCAAACAATAGCTTTGTTGTTATAAAAATATTTTGGATATGCATAATCTAAAACATAAAATTAGTAGGAAAGGGACCATATTTTGGCACTTAAAGTATTACTACAGAATCTGAATGAAAGTTTTGAATAATTTCCTTTCCTCACCTCTCTTTCAAAAAATTGTTTAAGGAGCTAGCAGCTAAGAAGTATGTTGGTAATAGTCTTTTCAAAACTAAATTGGGAAATGTTGAAGCAATTCTTTCCAAGAATATATTTTTTCTTGTTGATGTTGATTAAACAGTTATAATACAATTATCCACTGTAAATTTTTTTAGGACTTCTGACTTTTGGCGTGAAAGAATCTGCAATGGTTAACAAAGTGTTCACTTGTATCAATGTCCTCGTCTTGTGCTTTGTGATGGTGTCAGGTTTTGTGAAAGGCTCAATAAAAAACTGGCAGATCCCAGAAAATCTCTCACTTTCGGAGAAGTATGTTGGTTTTTATTTTTTATATATACATATCTGAAATAATATATGCGTTCATAGCTTTTGTTTAGCACACATTGACTGTGTATCAGATATGAAAATAAGAGAAGTGGACAGTTTGTAACACATCAGGTGGTTGATGGAAACTGAAATTCAGTACTATACAATTGCTTATTAACTGATTGTTCAATTAACAAAAATCAGTCTCTCATGGCTGGTGCTAGGCTGCCTATGGTTTGTACATATGCTCCTCTTTGAATCATAAGTGGTTCAAAGCTCAGCTAGCTGCAATAAGCTTTCACTATATTCTGTTGCGGTGGATAGAAATTAATTGTCTACCTGAATATATTTTCATGAGTAGTGCTTCTGTTGCAAATAAGATAAGAAAGAACAGCTGCTCCAGAGTGGACAGACTTACCCAACTTAACTGTAGTCAGGTGTTTGGGATTATAGCTTTTTCACCATTCCATCTAGAATCAGTGCCACTGTAGATGCAGCCTAATGTGAATTAGCAAAATTGTGGTTATTTATAGGCTTCATGTGTATGTTCAAATTACATTTAAAATCAAAGAAGACTACAGTGTGTGGAGCTGCCCATTTTTTTCACTTAATGTTATATAGATCTTACAGAGTTTGTGACTAGCAGATGGAAAATCATGCTCTGTTCATGCTTGCAAAAACTTCCCCCGTAGAAAGAAGTTTCTGTACTAAGAAGAATAAAATATTTGAAATGTCACTACTGCTTTGCAACATTGAGTTCCTTCCTTATTACCTCCTAAGCAACATAGTGAGAGTTTTTCACCACACAGAGGGGCTTTTGTTAGTCCTGATTAAATATACTAAAGTTTGAAAGCTAGGAAGGTTGCCTCTTTTTGTGGTTGATCTAAGAGAAAAGCTATAATGCCTCTGCCCCGAGTCCCTGCACTTTTTAGACACTCAGTCCATAGGCTGTTGCCAATATTTAGCAAGTAAATTATAATTGACAGATTTAAGACCTGTTAAGGAAAGAGGCAATGGAAGGAATCAAGTTAGGAGAAAGAAGTACACATAACTTGAGAAATGTGTTCTAGTTATGCCTACTTTCTTCTTTGGCAGTATCCACTTTTCTCCTTGCCTTGTCCTCTTGTTCCTAAGAATTGGCATTTGTTTGTTGACTCCCAAAAGGGAATCTAGAAGGCAGCAAGTCTTTTTCCCTTTTTAATCAACTTAATCTTGAAAGTGCTTCAAGACCTTGTTGTTTTTGCAGAATAGAACAATTTGCATGGACCTTTATATAATACAAGACATTTTATATAATAAAACCTTGACTCTACTTGGAAACAATAAAAAGAAATTTAAAAAGAGAAGTAATAAAACCTTGGAACCAAATGGGTCAGCAAGTTTGTATTGTTCTTTGGGCATAGTCGTGGAAAAATTGCCTGGCTAAACTTCGGAGTACATTTTATACAGATTAAAAGCACAAACTAAAACAATTAAGATTTTAGTGAACCACTGTGTATGAATTTTAAATTGAACTAAATAACTCTGCCTCTAAACAGAGGTCTGTATCTCTGAAATACAGATAGCAGTTACAAGATTAGATTATTCTTTTGATTTACAAAGCTGAAACTCTCCTTTCCTCCCCTCCCCTGTCTACCCAGAATCTAATGACAGCATGCACAGGGCTTCTTATTGTTACTTAATTCAAATGGTTAATTTTTGAAACCATAATCATTCCACTTGTTCCATACTCTGAAAATGGTTTTGAAACCAAACTATAAAAATTAAAAAATATAAATAAGAGTGCTGCCCACTCCTATTTATATTTACAGTACACAAAAATAGATCCTATTGATTTTGATGAGTGTTTTTATATACACTTGGATTATTACAGATTTATATTAATATGCTCAAATCTAGAGAGCCATTTATTTGTGCAGTTGTTTAATGGAGGTGCAAATGAGTCCTGGGAGGCTGTTATACATAAATTAAATGTATAATATAGTAGCCATTTAGTATTGGTAAATCTTGATGAATCAGCTCTATTCTGAATTTGTCCTGTTGAATTTTCATAGTTGCAAGATATTCTTGGAATTGGGTAATCAGAATCACTTCTGATTTCTTACTGCTTCTTCTAGTTCCACAAAGAATCTGCAGCATGGCGTTGGTGGGTTTATGCCATATGGTTTTTCTGGAGTTCTTTCAGGAGCAGCTACCTGCTTTTATGCATTTGTGGGATTCGACTGCATTGCCACCACAGGTAAGGTAACAAAAAAATAAATATATATTTTTTAAAATAATAATTTTTACTCTTAGTTGGGCCTTCTTTGTGTACTACTCAGGAGACCCTGAGCCATTTTTTCCATTCTTCTGCAGGTTCATCTCTGAAAATAGTTCCTGCAGCTCTGAATGATGTTTCTTCTTTTCAGCATGAAATATATTATATTTACATACAGATCAGAATCTAATTAGATTCTTGGAGAAGGGATTCTGTGTTTTAAGACATAAACAGTAGAAGGTACTTGTGGAACCTGACCTTGCATCAGAATATTAATTTTAGCCGTATTTGAATAAGTCAGTGGTTCTCAACCTTTCTAATGCGTGACCCCATAATACAGTTCCCCATGTTGTGGTGACCCCCAAGTGGGTGTGGCCACCAATAAGAGGGAGTAGGACAGCTAGGGAAAAGGGAAAAAAATGGCGGACAGTGTGGTTTGGCGACCTCCGTGAAATGGTCATTTGACCCCAAATGGGGTCCCGACCCACAGGTTGAGAACCGCTGCAATAAGTGATTAATTATACCATGCAGTGTGACGCTATTCATTTCTACTCAGAAAGAAATCAACATTGCAAAGTTTTTGATGTAATTTTGGATATCATTATCTCTTATTCTTAGTTTTCATTATCTTATAAATAAGCTTGAAAATGAAGTTCTACTAATATATTCTTAGCATTTGGATAACAGCAATAGAAGGAGCTCTGAAGTTTTATGTTGCATTGAATAATTTTAAAGTACAAATTAAGGTGTTGGATCAAATTGTATAGCTTGATTCTCAAACATGTAAGTTTTTTTTTCTAGGCAATACCTCTTAGCATGATTTGCAATTGTAATTAGATGTTTTATATGTTTCATAAACAGCTGTAGATTTTCCTTATTGGAAAGTTAGGTAATTCAGGGAAATAATGTGCAATAATTTAAAAGGGTTGTAAAATGTGTGCTTTTACAGTAATTTAATATGCTACTGACAACTTTTAATTTGGTGTTTTCACTAGAGGAAAAATGTCAAATGCAGTTTCTTCACTAAAAGGAAATAATTAAATCTGTCTTTTGTAATCTTTGGATTATATCTCCTTTTTTTAGGTGAAGAAGTAAAAAATCCCCAGAAAGCTATTCCAATAGGCATAGTGGCCTCACTTCTGATCTGCTTTGTTGCATATTTTGGGGTGTCGGCTGCTCTTACTCTCATGATGCCTTACTATCTGCTTGATAAAAATAGCCCACTGCCACTTGCTTTTAAGTATGTGGGATGGGAAGGAGCAAACTATGCAGTAGCTGTTGGATCCCTGTGTGCTCTTTCTACAAGGTAAGGGCTACAACATTTTGCTTACATGGGGTAAGAGTGTATTCACGTACTCACTGAAGAGTGTATTCATCTTTAAATAAAAACGTTCATGGCTAATTTAGGAGTTGGCTTTTTTAACTAGACAGATTTTTAAGAGCCGTTGGTGGCACAGTGGTTAGAATGCAGTACTCACTGCAGTAACTCACTGTTCACTCTAGTAGTTCGATACTGACCTAGTCAAGGCTGACTCGGCCTTCCATCCTTCTAAGGTCAGTAAAATGAGGACCCAGATTTCTGGGGGCAACATGCTGACTCTTAAAGCCACTTAGAGAGGGCTGTAAAGCACTATGAAGCGGTATATAAGTCTAAGGACTATTGCTATGTTTCCATAGTTCAGATATGATATATTTAGAAAGGTAGGTCACTTAGATGGTAATGGTTTACAATTTCCCCCCCCCACTTTAGTTGGAGGTTATGATAAAGCTTGCAGAAGAGGTAATTGATTCTACTTCTACTAGGTCTAAAACCCTGGGGGGGTGGTGGTGGTGGAATTAACTGCCAGTCATTGGAGACAAACCCTTCCAATCTGATGCTGATATATAGGACTAAGATTTTAAGAGTTCCTCATCAGCGTCTCCAGAAATCACACTGTTTAGGAATTCTGGAAATTTTTAATCACGCATATGAGGTGGGGGGATGACTGATGGAGTTAATTGGTCCATAATTGGAACAGTGTAATTGGACTTGGTAGAAACTAGCTGTGTCTCTTCCGAGGTAAAATTCTTTGGCTATGGGCTCCCGGGAAACTTTTGTTACATTCCAGCAGTTATCACTAATTTCTCATTTTTATTGTGAAAAAAAGAAGAAATAAATATAATTATTTATTTAAAGAAAATAGAATCGGATTTAGTTTTTGTCCAGCCTCATTCATTCCTTTGTCCTGTCCTATTTACTTTTAGGAGTTTGAATCCTAGCTCTCACTCATAGGCCAGAAAAGATTCTCAACATAAAAAAAAAAAGAGAGAACCATGCATATTTCCTTCAGATAAAGCTTGCAATGCAATGCCAATGTTCAGGATTTAGCGTTAAAATGAGTACAGAATTTTTTAAAATCCCACTTTTATGTACAGGTAGTCCTCAACTGGCGACCATTTGTTAGTGATTGTTCAAATTTATAACTGTGCTGACAAAAGTGACCTCCCACTGGTCCTCCCACTTACAACCGTTGCAGTATCCCCATGGTCACATTATCAAAATTTGGGTACTTGGTAACTGGCATATATTTATGACGATGGCAGTATCTCAGTGTCAGGTGATCATCATTTGCAACTTTCCTAGCTGGCTTCCAACAAGTAAAGTTAATGGGGGAAGCCAGATTCACTTAATAGCAGTGATTTCACTTAATGACCATAATGATTCACTTAACAACTACAGTAAAATTGGGCATAACTCACTTAAAACTGCTTTGCTTTGTGATGGAAGTTCTGGCCCTAATTTTGGTTGTAAGTTGAGGATTACCTGTCTCTAATTATTTTTGGAATAAATTTTATTAAAAGGTTTTTAAAAAAACATTAAAACTAACACACATTAATACAACATGGAAGAACCAAGGAGAAAAAGTGCAATGAGAAAATATAAAAAGAAATAAAAATGTTCAGTTTCTTCTGCAGCAAATATAAGTATCTGACTGATTTTTTAAATTCCTTTTTCATTATGGTGAAGGTCTAGGATTCACTGCTGCAAAAGAGCAAAACTTTCCCATTATCTGTTACAATTAATCCCCCAACTTGGGGAAAGGATACTTATCCCTTAAAAATTGAATTCCGTGCAATAGAGGTTGCGTTGTTGGATTATGTTAAACAATTTTATTTCATGCCCCATTTTTTGTACACAAGGAATAAGTCAACATTAATGTCTCTTGTCTTTTTCTAGCTTGCTTGGATCCATGTTTCCAATGCCCCGGGTTATCTACGCGATGGCAGAAGATGGATTACTATTCAAATTTTTGTCTCGTGTCAATGAAAGGACAAAAACCCCAATGTTAGCTACTATAACCTCAGGAGTTGTTGCAGGTAAGAAAGATTCCTTAAGAACGAATCAAGTAATTACTAGGTCCCCCCCACAACTGTACATGTATGGGTGTGCATATTGTAAACACATGCTTCTCATAACTATAAGGAGAACACCCAGTATCTATAAAACAGATCAAAACTAGTGTTACATATTTTACTACATTTTAATATGCAAATATTTTTAAGGTTGCAAGACTTGCTCATTCAGAAATAATATTATTACTCTTACTAACCGTGTCACACACAACTTGATATACAGTTTACCTTTTTTTGAACTCTGGTTTTCTTGCTTTTTTCTCATGAATTTTACATCACCTCCTGGGAAACAGAAGAACTTGTTGGCCCAGAAATATGGATAAGGATTAAATTGTCATGATTCATCAGGGTTGTACATGATGTACATTTAATTGGTGTTTTCTCTCTCTCTCTCTCACTCTCACTCTCTCACCCTCTCCTTCCCTCCCTCCATCTCTCTTTCTCTGCTACTCTCTCTACCATTAGCTATCATGGCCTTTCTCTTAGACCTCAAGGATCTTGTAGACCTGATGTCTATCGGGACTCTTCTAGCTTATTCCTTGGTGGCTGCCTGTGTCTTGGTACTAAGGTAAGAAACAACAGCATTGCTGACAAAGTAACCCCAAACATAGCCCAAATTTGCTTTCTCGAAAGGTATATAATTTTAGATTTTATTACCTACTAAGTTCAAAATGTGAACTGAACCTCTTGTTCAACAGCAGCAGATCCTAGAAGACGTGGGGAACAATTCGGTATGCTAGTCAGGGCAAAGGTGGCGCAGCAGTTAGAGTGCAGTACTGCAGGCCACTTTAGCTGACTGTGTTCAGCAGGTCAGCGGTTCAAATCTCACCGGCTCAAGGTTGACTCAACCTTCCATCCTTCCGGGGTAGGTAAAATGAGGACACAGATTGTTGGGGGCAATGTGTGTGTGTGTGTGTGTGTGTATATATATATATGTATGTATATATATATATATATATATATATATATATATATATATATTATATATATATATATATATATATATATATATATACACATACATATATATATATATATATACATACATACATACATACATACATTGCTTACTGGTGTACACTGCTTAGAGAGTGCTTGCACTTAAAGCGGTAGTCTCATAAATAAATAAATAAAGCGGTAGTCTCATAAATAAATAAATAAATAAATAAATGATTCTCTACAATGAAAATCGGCTGCTTCATTATTGGTGCAGATAGTTTTGTGTCCCATCTGCTCTGCTGCCCTTGGGACAGGTCATTTTACCCTTTCCACACAAATGCAAAACAGATGTTTGGACTTTTATCATTGTTTATTTTGGCAAACTGCTTCACATAAGATTTTCCTTGCGATATCGCCGTCCCAAGTCTGGGTAAGCCTATTCTGCATGCTTCAGCTTTCATTTTCCAGAGTTAGGAATTTTTGCAGCTTCATTTACTAAGTTAGAGAAGTAGTTGGATAGTATGAGAAAGGACGTCGTATTAATATGAAGATGAAAAGTGCAACATTAAGTGTAGAAAGCTTGCTCTACTACTACATAAGAACAACGGCAGAATTAAGCAGATGAACAGCAGTTGATCCTGTTCACATGCTGTTCACCATGCTGGCTCAGGAATTCTGGGAGTTGAAGTCCACGAGTCATAAAAGAGCCAAGGTTGACTACCCCTGGGCTAGCTGCACAAAAAGAAAGGGAGTCAGCATTGGACTTGCACGGACATAAGGCAAGATTGGTGGAGGAGCCCCCAAATTTGTCATCAATCCAAATGCCACTAACCAGGTGGTGCAAGCTAGTTTGTCCCCTGTGGTGTACCGTGAATAAGTGTGCAAGCGCAAAACTGAACAAACTAGCAATTAGACTGTCAGAACTACTCTGTAAAATGTAGATCTCCCTGACAAATATATGTCAGAATAAATAAATAAATAAGCAATTTATTCCCCTTTTTTTAAAACATAGGAGTTACTTGAGCCTGTACTTTTTCTCTGCAATTTTTGCTGTTCCTTTGATAGTTGAACATTAAGTACAAACTGCAGATTGCAATAAAATGTAACACATTTTTAAAGAGTATTTTCTCTTTGAAGACAAATGTAGTATATAATATCTGAGTAACAGCCTAATCAAGATATCCAAATCAGAATCAGATTGGCTAAAGAAGGCAGCAGTTTTAGCTTTATTCCTGGAAATACAGTTTTGTGACTTGTATGGTTTTCTGGATAACAGTAGTAAAAGGCCTAGCCTTATTTCTGGCATTTAAAAAATACTCTTTAATATTAAATGAACTTATGGTAGGGCATTTATCAGAGCAATAAAGCTCTAAGAAGAACGTAACACATTTAAACTTAACATTTTTGTCTATATGTAGCTTTGGCAGCTCTGTAATTTGTATCTCATTTTATGGATTTCATAGGAATAGATGAAATAAAACCTAATAGTTGTAGTTACAGTTGACAGTGATAAAGTTTCTGCCTCTTATTCCACTATTCTACTTTTGATACATTCTTCTAATACTCAAATAAAACCTTCCAATGGCATATTTATAATTTCCAGTACTACAATGCTATGTGTCTGTTATGTTTGTTTCCCTATAGATACCAACCTGAGCAGCCTAACTTGGCGTATCAGATGGCTAGTACTACAGATGAGACAGACACAAATGAGTCTGTGAGCACAAGTGAATCTCAAACTGCATTTCTGCCGGGAGAGGGAGAGAAATTATCCTTAAAAGTTATCCTTGTCCCCCAAAATACAATTCCTTCCAAACTTTCGGGATTTATAGTGAATGTCTCTACTTGTGTCATAGGTAAGCAGCTGCTTCCAAAAACTAGTATTATTCTTAATCATTGTGGCTTTGATTGCTGAGTTTCCTCTCTGAAAAGTCGATTAGTGAGTTTGCTGATGAATTGAGAATGTCCTCCTTGCAGTTTGTGTTTTGGTTTAGCTATCTTTAGAATAAAACCATTGTGGAAATTAAGAGATAATGGTGAGACAACCCCTAAAAAAAAGGCAAAGAACTGGTAAGTCAAAGTTAAAGGAAGCCCATCAAAGAAGCATAGAATACACGACAATCCTAATTCACTTAACCACCCTAATTGGGACTGGAATTTCTGTTGCTAAGCAAAATTGGATGAAACACATGACTGTACCACTTAGTCATGGCAGTTCCAGTAGTAGTCCCGGCTGTGGTAGTTAAACCAGGGCCATGCTATTCCTGAGTAAGGATCTCATGCTTCTCCTGTCCTACTGTACTTGTCTCCACTGCACCTACCCCCTTCTGTCTGGTCAGCAGTGGGAGAAAGAAGGCAAAAGTCGTGGACGGAGTAGCAGGGATAGTGCAGAGTGTTGGTCCGCCAAAGGGGCAGAGATTAGGAGAGAGATAGGGTGGGTGAGGGGAGTTGAAGCACAGCCTGTGGTTGTAAATGAGAGTGGGTTGCCAAGCATCCAGATTCTGATCACATGACTGGGGTATGTGTGTTGCAATAGCTGTAATTTTGAGAACCAGCCATAACTATCATTTCTTCAGTGCAATCATAACTTCTAAGGGTTGCTGTACAGATAGTTGTCAAGCAAGAATTACCTGTAGATGAACTTTTTGTTCTACAGCAGGGGTCCCCGGGCCTGTTCGGAAGTGGGCCTCATGAGCGGCTGGCTGGTGCACATCATATGCACTCATGTGCGTGGAGTTCGACTTGTATGAGTGGTGGGCCGTTGCACATGCACACCCATGCGCCAGCCCACCACTTGCATGGTCCAGGTCCCCTCCCTCCTGCCAGCTGCCAAGCCAGAAAGATGGGGATTGCTGCTCTACAGGATTCAGTGAGCAAAACAGTTGCTCAGAAAAATGGATGTTGGAAGCTATGGATCCTGGGCTGCCTCCCTGCATATGTCACAGATTGTATTATTTTCACTTAGCTAATTACAGCTGTTTTTTTGTATTCCTCCCCACCAGGTTTAACAATGCATCCAACATCCTAATGTTTCTTGTTCTTAGGTTTTCTTATTGTCAGCTTCTGTAGCTTGACTGTCCTTGGCAAGGAGGTTCTGATCAGAGGAGCAGCGTGGGCCATTATCATGCTTGTTGTCATCTTCCTCATCTGCTTTGTTTTCGTGGTCATCATTTGGAGGCAGCCTGAAAGCAAAACCAAACTCTCATTTAAGGCAAGTGATATGTAAAGCTAGCGTACATGCATAAAATAAGAAGTGGAGCCCTTGCTGGCTTTTTGATTGGAAAAAGAGATTAGTGGAGTTCAGTCTGCTTTTGCTAGAAAAGCAGCAGTGTGGGGAGACAGCAAAAGACACTTTCCCATGCAGATTGAACATCTGTCCTTCAGACATGACCTTCAGCTTTCTGGATGCTGTTTTTGTGGAAAGGAGGGTTCTCACCTTGTCTGATATCCTATTTGAGGTACTGGGAAATAATCAATGGCATGCAAGGCTGCTGTTTTTGTTTTGATATTCCTAACATAATCTTCCCAAAAAACTTAACTCGTTATATGATGGGGTAAGCTCTAGAAATGAAGTTTTAATTATTTTCATAGAACAGTGAATGTGTAAGTGAGTGAGTGAGTGAGTGAGTAAATGTATACATACATAAAGTAGAGGAAGGAAAGCATGTCAGTTGTAAAGTTAGACAAGGGGTTGGTGACTTTTCAGATGTTGCAAGTTTCAGAATTCAGTATGAAAATTTGTGAAAACTGTGTTTGCTGGGAATTGTAATTATGCAAAAACTTGTTGGTGTACATTCCCCACCTGGCATAACAGAAACTGCATCCCCAAATATTTACATTGTATGCACAAACTTATGATAAAAAGAGGATTTGAATTCAACATGCCTATATGATATGCAAATCTTAATTATCTAATATAATATCTGTGTTGGAGTATAGACATTATATAGTTTTGTTTCTGTGTATCAACTTATTCTAATAAATTGGAGTTGTTAATAGAAATTAATGCAGCCCTTATTTAGTGACCACAATTGGGACTGACAGCTGTCATTAAGTGAATTGATTGCTAAATTGGAAATCTTATGAGCGTGACTGCTTTCCTTTCTCTCATTCCCTCACCCTTTCAAATGCTCACTCCAATCCTGGGATAATTACCGTATATGCCGGCGTATTAGGCGACCCGGCGTATAAGACGACCCCCGTCTTTATAGCCGGGCCGCATTCCTAGAACGTCGTCTTATACGCCGGAAACTACCAGTATTTCTGGCGTATAAGACGACTCGGCGTATAAGACGACCCCCGTCTTTGGCGCCGATTTCAGCGCTCGCGGAAGTCGTCTTATACGCCGGCATTTACGGTAGCAAGAAGGGAATTAATGTTTGCATTTACATTCATTGGAGAGCAAGGTGTTTCAAGAGAGTAAGTAGGCACACAGTGGTGAATACACGTTGAAAGGAATGTAGTAGGACCAGTTTCTATTGAATTATTGCTGCAACATAAATATCAGAAAGTGTATACAGAAAATAACATTCAGTAACAATATTTAAAGTCAGCTTTATCATGGGAACTCTTTATCATATTAATAAATTTTCAATCCTAACAAAATATGCCTTCATGCTAAATCTCCTGAGAAAAATCCTTGCTCATTTCATTGTATGATACAAAAGAAAGTTTCTGTTGTTTCCATACAAGTTGTCTAGGTACCTTCCTGTTTTGCCACATTGAACCACTATCAAGAATATCTCCCAAAACATCCTCTCTGAAATGTGGTCATATTGTATAGAATAGAAAGGATTTAATTTTAAAAAAATATGTGTCTAAAATATTGCAATTGCAAACTTGTATGTATGTATAAATCTGCACTCGGATAATTGTATCTCCAATGTTCATCTGACTCTATAATTTTAAACACCTAGATGAAAGCCAGTAAACATGACATCTTTTAAAATGTATTGTCATTAGTTTCTTATTCCAGAGAATTCTTGCAGCATCTTATTTACTTATCCAGTTAGAGCCGTACTCAGAAGAACCTGCAAGAATTTGCTGCTTTGCATACATTCTCTATATTATATGCTTGCTAATACTGATATGAGAAAATAATTCCTTCAAATGGAATCAGGAGAAGGTAGATATATGAACTGGTGTATCCATACTCCTAAATGCAATCCAGAAGCACAATTTTGCCTTTGTTTTGCAGGTTCCTTTTCTGCCTGTTCTTCCAATCCTGAGCATCTTTGTGAATGTTTATCTCATGATGCAGCTGGATTGCGGTACCTGGATACGATTTGCCATCTGGATGGTCATAGGTAAATTTCAACTATGTTATATGATGACCTTTTTTGTTCACATAGGTCAGACATGTCAAACTCGTGACGTCGTGCAACATATCGGGACAGTTTTGCCATTGCCGGCAAATGGCAATGGGGTTGGCGCAGCTTCCGGATGATGTGTCTGGCCCATGGGCCGGCAGTTTGACACCCCTGGTGGTCAGAAGACTTAAAAGCTACAACGGAGTAATCTTCCATATAGTATGAGATTCCAAGGATTAAAAAGAAAAAGATTAAAACCAAGCATTTTAATAAGCATGTCAATCCAGGCAACTAATACGAAACTGTGTTTTAGCTTTTGTCTAAAACAAAACAAACCCAGATTCACACACATTAAAACCTGGGAGTAGCCTTTAATTACTCTGATTAAATCTTTTAAATCATCTCCAGGAATAGGCCCATGCAAGGTATGTTATGACAATTAAGCTTGTAAATATTGAAAGCAAGGGAGAAATATGGCAAGATCTGATCTATGCAGAATTAAAATAGATTTCCCTATTTTTTGGTAGAAAGCAGTCTGCAAAATACCTCTGATTTGCTTCTCAAGTCAGAGATAAACTTGATAGAGATAGAGTCTCTAGAAAAATCTTCAGTCCCCCTCAGTGATACTGCACTATTTCTAAAGCAGTGGCTCTCAACCTTTCTAATGCCGCGACCCCATGATATAGTTCCCCATGTTGTGGTGACCCCCAACCACTTATACATCACCGGGTGCCAGGGGCATGGCCAAAGAAAAGGGGAAAAAAATGGCGGACAGCCTTGTTTGGCGACCCCCGTGAAATGGTCGTTCGACCCCAAATGGGGTCCCGACCCACAGGTTGAGAACCACTGTTCTAAAGGAAGTAGATAGTCAAAACCTTTGATGTTCTACAAGAGCATCATCTCATTTTGTATTACAGGCAGAGATTCATAAACTGATACATCCTATGTGCTGCCACACGTTTCCTAACGCTACTCCATTTTCCTCTTTCCTCCAGGCCTGGTTATATATTTTGGCTATGGCATATGGCACAGCGTAGAGGCATCTTATTCAGCACCAACGGATCAAGAAAGAAGTATGGATAACAATATGGACACTTGTAAATGACATCCTTCTTGTTCAGGAGGGTATTGAGAGCTATTGGAGCACAGCAGGATACTTCTCTCTGAAAGAACTTTTTTTTTTTTTTTGGTAGAATATCAGGTGGGCTCTCATGTCCCCTTTAACATGGGGATGCAGCTGGGAGGGATCACAAGGAAAAAAATACCTAGCCTTCTGACGCACTCCCAACAATACTGTTACTTCTTGCTGACAGCTGTTTCTCTTCTTTACTCTTTGAATAGAAGGTGCTAGTTTACTTCCAATGTTACTGTGAGAATAAGATTCTCAGGCTTGTGAATTAATTCCTGGCTACTGGAATGGAGCACACTCTATACTGTTTCTCCAATATTCACCTATATTGCAGCACCAGAACTAAACTAAAGCAGAACCAAACCAAACCATACATAAACCCTCTTACATGTTTATAAACTGTATCCACTTCCCAAGACTGGAATGAAAAGAAAGGGAGTGGTGCTATTTAAACATTGTGCTTAACGTATTTAAAGAGGGGTGATGTCTTGAGTTTTGGCATCCAACGTTACAGCAATTTCCTTTAGCAAATGTGGACAAACCAGGTTTCCATCGGAAGCTTCTGTGCAACCTGTAGCCAAATTCCTCTCCTGTGCTTCAAACAGCTGTGTAAATACAGTGGGGCAAAAAAGTATTTAGCCAGCCACCAATTGTGCAAGTTCTCCCACTTAAAAAGATGAGAGAGGCCTGTAATTGTCATCATAGGTAGACCTCAACTATGAGAGACAAAATGAGAAAACCAATCCAGACATCACATTGTTTGATTTGGAAAGAATTTATTTGCAAATTATGGTGGAAAATAAGTATGTGGTCAATATCAAAAGTTCATCTCAATACTTTGTTATATATCCTTTGTTGGCAATGACAGAGGTCAAAACGTTTTCTATAAGTCTTCACAAGGTTGGCACACACTGTTGCTGGTATGTTGGCCCATTCCTCCATGCAGATCTCCTCTAGAGCAGTGATGTTTTGGGGCTGTTGCTGGGCAACACGGACTTTCAACTCCCTCCAAAGGTTTTCTAAGGGGTTGAGATCTGGAGACTGGCTAGGCCACTCCAGGACCTTGAAATGCTTCTTACGAAGCCACTCCTTCATTGCCCAGACGGTGTGCTTGGGATCATTGTCATGCTGAAAGACCCAGCCACGTTTCATCTTCAATGCCCTTGCTGATGGAAGGAGGTTTGCACTCAAAATCTCACGATACATGGCCCTATTCATTCTTTCCTGTACACGGATCAGTCGTCCTGGTCCCTTTGCAGAGAAACAGCCCCAAAGCATGATGTTGCCACCCCCATGCTTCACAGTAGGTATGGTGTTCTTTGGATGCAACTCAGCATTCTCTCTCCTCCAAACACGACGAGTTGTGTTTCTACCAAACAGTTCTACTTTGGTTTCATCTGACCATAGGACATTCTCCCAATCCTCTTCTGGATCATCCAAATGCTCTCTAGCAAACTTCAGACAAGCCCGGACATGTACTGGCTTAAGCAGGGGCACATCTCTGGCACTGCAGGATCTGAGTCCCTGGCGGCGTAGTGTGTTACTGATGGTTGTCTTTGTTACGTTGGTCCCAGCTCTCTGCAGGTCATTCACTAGGTCCCCCCATGTGGTTCTGGGACTTTTGCTCACCATTCTTGTGATCATGTTGACCCCACGGGGTGAGATCTTGCGTAGAGCTCCAGATCGAGGGAGATTATCAGTGGTCTTGTATGTCTTCCATTTTCTAATTATTGCTCCCATAGTTGATTTCTTCACACCAAGCTGCTTGCCTATTGCAGATTCAGTCTTCCCAGCCTGGTGCAGGTCTACAATTTTGTTTCTGGTGTCCTTCGATAGCTCTTTGGTCTTCACCATAGTGGAGTTTGGAGTCTGACTGTTTGAGGTTGTGGACAGGTGTCTTTTATACTGATAACAAGTTCAAACAGGTGCCATTAATACAGGTAATGAGTGGAGGACAGAGGAGCCTCTTAAAGAAGAAGTTACAGGTCTGTGAGAGCCAGAAATTTTGCTTGTTTGTAGGTGACCAAATACTTATTTTCCACCATAATTAGCAAATAAATTCTTTCCAAATCAAACAATGTGATTGTCTGGATTGGTTTTCTCATTTTGTCTCTCATAGTTAAGGTCTACCTATGATGACAATTACAGGCCTCTCTCATCTTTTTAAGTGGGAGAACTTGCACAATTGGTGGCTGACTAAATACTTTTTTGCCCCACTGTATGAAGCAGAATCTGTTGCTTATGATAGAACTGCTGTGTAAAAAGTATGGCTTTCAGGTATGCAGATCTGCCAAATCAAAGGCAATTGCTTGGTTGGGATGTTTACATTTCAGATCAGACAGTCCTCGTCAAAGGCAGCCTTTCCCATGCTTGTATTTCAACATAATATTGTGAGGTAGCTCACTGATATGCCCTGTAGCTGAGAAAAGGCAAGAGTTTCCTGTAATAAAGATGGAATTAATAAAGGAGAACATTTGTAGCTCAGGGTTGACATGAGGGGTCCTTGGTACTCTCTGAGCTTGCTTGTTTTCTTGCAGATGTTTCGTTGCCCAAACTAGGTAACATCATCAGTGCTAGTCTAGTCTGTGTTACTTAGTTTGGGTAATGAAACATCTGCAAGAAAACAAGCAAGCAGAGCACCATGGACCCCTCAAAGATAGAATTGAACACAGGGTTCTTGGGTCAAACGCCACCATTGTCTTTACTGTTATGTTTGAAATAATATATTTAAAGTTAATATTTTATTGAAGGAAGGTTGTGACAAATACAGCTTTTCTAGTGCAGAGTACGAGCTAGTCTTAGGTTTTGCCTGTAATATTTGGGACTATAGAATGCAAGTTTCTCATCCTGTTAGGGCTGACTTTTCCAAATAGGCCATCAGATTTAAAATTAAAACTGTGTTATTTCCTCTGTTAGGCATAAATGGGACACGGGAAATCATAGAAGTATCTATGCAGAGGGAAAATCATCTTCTAAAAATGTGGTTTTTCCAAAGGGAGGGTAAAAGTCTGTACACTCATAAAATAATATTGACGCTTGCTGTTTTGATATTCTAGTAAATAGTGTAGATGATTGTACTTTTTTCTTTTACACTGTTAACCTCAGAGGCTTGAATTTATTATTACTTGTTCGTGGTATTTATCTCTAGCCCCATGATGCGTTATATTTGAGCAAGCTATATGGAAAAGAATAGCACTTAGAAGAAAGGGAAATCATTTTGTAGCGGGATTGTGCTTATTTTGTGTGAGGAAATTTAGAAGGGGGGGTATTTATTTATGGCACTCCCTATGTTTTGTCCAAGTTGCATCCTAGTGATAATGTTATTAGATGTGAATTTTGACTCAGTTTTCCTGTCACCATGGTGATTGCTGAGAATTTTAGTGGTTACATCTACCTGTCTGGAAGGTTAGACAGAGCTTCTACAAGACAGTGTTGACCCAGCTGGACCCATAACTTGATACAAGGCAGTTTAATGTATTTACTTGGTACTTCAGCAACTTCCATTTGCCATCACAAAAGTCTGTGAAGGCTACAATTACAATTAAGAGGGTGTTCTTTTTAAAGGGCCTCAGCATTGAATAATTGAGAAATGCACAACTTAGTTTGAACCAGCCAGACCTTCCTCAGGTAAATTGGCCAGGCTGCTCAAGGTGATTTGGAAAGCCCTTAGAGCTGGCTAGAAAATGTTCCTTTCAGATAAAATGTATATGTGACTGGAAAATACCTAGAACTTGTTTTTGAGTTCTGGATGGAATCCCATTACATCAGTGTTTCTCAACTTTGACAATTTTAGGGCATGTGGACTTCAACTCCCAGAATTCCACAGCCAGCAACGCTGGCTGTGGAATTCTGGGAGTTGAAGTCCACATGCCTTAAAATTGTCAAGGTTGAGAAACACTGCATTACATCATGTATCTTTGTTTTAGAGTCTGTGGGGAGTGAGATGGAGCTTGTTTTGAACTCTTCATTTTTAGCTGAATCAGCCTTCCTTTGTAGATTGTTTCATACATGGCAAAAGTCCTTTGCAGAAATCTCTTCTGTATAGTCCCATTTCATATCCATGCTGATTTCAACCTTTTACTTACCTAAAATTTAGTGTGGTTGAATTCCAGTGTTTAGTCTAATTCAGTTTTAAACTTACAGGTAGACTTGACTTAATGGCCACAATTGGGACTGGAATTTCAGCCACCAAATGGGTGCGATCATTAAACAAGTCAGCATGTGACTGGATCCGCTTTTATAACCATTTTTATCCTGGTTGTTAAATGAATTATGCAGCCATTAAGCAAATTTGGCTTCCCCTATTGACTTTACTTGAGGGAAGCTGGTTGGGAAGGTTGCAAATTATGATCATGTGACCACAGAACGTTGGAACTGTCATAATTGTGATCCAGTTGCCAAGCGCCCAAATCATGATCACATGACTCTGGGGCTGGTGCAAGAGTTGTAACTTGGAGGGCAGGTCATAAATTTTTTTGTTTCAGTGCCACTATTAATTTGAACCATCATTAAATTAAGTTAAGACTACCTGTACTAAGGAAAATACTATTAGAAAAAGCCCTAAACACTGAGCATCACGTTTGGTTTTGTATGATGCATGCAGTAAAAAAGCTGTTCCTTTTCAGATGTGGCATTTATGGAAATGATTTTGGAAGAAAATTCTGTCACATGCAAAGGAACCTTTAAAACAGTTTTTCACACATACATTACATCACTAGTGGAAAAGATCACATATTAACGAAAGCAGTCTCCTAGGATAATGGCTCTCCCCTTCAACTGTCACTTCCCACAGTGCAGGGAATTTTGAGAGCTGAAGTCCACTACTTCCAAATGACAGGATGACATCCTGTAATTCTGAGTTAGGTTGATGCATATCCAAGACTTGCATAAGTTTTGCTTTTCCTCTCACTTGAGATTCAACAACAGGAGATATTAGGCCTGGGAAAAGTTTTCTGGGAGAAAGACTTTCAGAGAGC